GCAGTTTGGCTTTATGCCTAACAAGATATACAAGAATAAATATGCCAAATCACAATAAATGTGAGAAAAAAAGCATTTAGTGAAGTTAATGGGCACAGTAATGTGAAATGTAGCTGTTGCCACTGCTGTCACCCCCTTGCCAAGTCATCTCCCCAAAATGTCTCATCAAACATTGTCTCAGTGTTTCACTGCTGCTCTGTGTCTCTGTGCAGGTTTTTTTGTTTACATTGTGCTCCTCCGAATAATAATAAAAAATCTCAAAGCCAACCAACCAACCAGAGACAAAATAGTACGGAAAAAAGAGGAACGTTAATTTTTATCTTCTGATGATTGAAAAAAAATTATGATTTAGATATATAAGTTCAAACAAATTTGGAGGGGGAGTATACATTGAGGTATTTTGGCTGCTCATGTTTCAGGGAGTTGATTTCATTTTTTTTCTTTTGAAGATTAAGAGGCTAAATTGGCACAAACAATTACCAATCCAACCAACATTACCACCATGAAAAAGAATGAAATCAACTCCCTGAAACATGAGCAGCCAAAATACCTCAATGTATACTCCCCCTCCAAATTTGTTTGAACTTATATATCTAAATCATAATTTTTTTTCAATCATCAGAAGATAAAAATTAACGTTCCTCTTTTTTCCGTACTATTTTGTCTCTGGTTGGTTGGTTGGCTTTGAGATTTTTTATTATTATTCGGAGGAGCACAATGTAAACAAAAAAACCTGCACAGAGACACAGAGCAGCAGTGAAACACTGAGACAATGTTTGATGAGACATTTTGGGGAGATGACTTGGCAAGGGGGTGACAGCAGTGGCAACAGCTACATTTCACATTACTGTGCCCATTAACTTCACTAAATGCTTTTTTTCTCACATTTATTGTGATTTGGCATATTTATTCTTGTATATCTTGTTAGGCATAAAGCCAAACTGCTTTAAGTAACCAAATATGTACCATGTTATCCTCCTTTGCTTGGCAGACTTTTTAGGCAATTTGCTTGTCTCTGTAGGTGAGTAGACTTTTTTTGTTTTACTAATGGAAATTTTCATTAAAACAAGGTTTTATTACGACAAGCTTTCCATGGGCAGTTTTGATATTGAAATAGTGTGGCCAGCAGGGACAGGGAAGGGACCTTACCCCTGTACTGGGCACTGATGAGGCCGCACCTTGATTCCTGTGTTCAGTTTTGGGCCCCTCACTACAAAAAGGACATTGAATGACTCGAGCGTGTCCAGAGAAGGGCAACGAAGCTGGTGCAGGGTCTGGAGCACAGGTCGTACGGGAGCGGCTGAGGGAACTGGGGGTGTTTAGTCTGGAGAAGAGGAGGCTGAGGGGAGACCTCATCACCCTCTACAGCTACCTGAAAGGAGGGTGCAGAGAGCTGGAGATGAGTCTCTTTAACCAAGTAACAAGTGATAGGACAAGAGGGAATGGCCTCAAGTTGAGCCAGGGAAGGTTTAGACTAGATGTGAGGAAGTATTTCTTTCCAGAAGGGGTTGTTAGGTGTTGGAATGGGCTGTCCAGGGAGATGGTGGGGTCCGCATGCCCAGAGGTGTTTAAGTGTAGGGTCGACGTAGTGCTTAGGGATATGGTGTAGTTGGGAACTGTCAGTGCTAGTTAATGGTTGGACTAGATGACCTTCAAGGTCCTTTCCAAGCTAGTTGATTCTGTGATAAACTTTTTCTGGGGAGGCTTTGTTGCCTCCAATAAGAGAATTGCTCTGCAAAGAAACACCATCCTGTAACAGACAATAATTATTCCCTTGAATCTTGTTCCGTATGTGCATTATTTCCACTAACAGATAAAAATGTTATATATATACATATTCTAAAATATTATCAAATTAAGATGAAATCCAGCATCATTGTGTTAAGATGTACTCCAAATATAGTACTGGTGTGGATTGCTCAAGGAAGATAGAAAAGACTACGGACTGAACCCAGGAAATTCTTAGGTGTAATTCCATATCACAGCTGCTAACAGGGGACATAACTGACTACCTAACTAACACTTGATTTAAACTAAAACTGGAATAGAAAAATAAGTTAAATTTTTAAACTAAAGTTTATGTCCTCCCAACAACAAAAATCTTCCATAATGAAAACTTGTATGTTTAAAAAGATAGGTTTTTTTTTTTGTGAATAAAAAGCAACAAAATCCACATATATTCTTACCATTTTCACAAAAACATTCTCTCACCAACTCTACTGAAAAAGTAGAAGGTAGAATTTTTGTTGAGAAACATTTAGGAGAAGAGGATGGGGAATTATTCCTATGCAGTAGTTTGTCTAATTGGCAGCTGTTTTTCAGATGTAGGCCTAAATTACCTGACATGGCATTACTCTGATAGCACCTTTGAACGCTTTCTTGCAATACAGTGAGAGTATCAAGAAATTAATGAAAGGGGATATTAAATTCCACATTGGTGAAGAAGCAGCTTAAATAACAAATTCCCTAAAAAATGGTGGGTTTTTTTTTTCTTTTTGCCCATGTGCCTGTGCAAGGATGCACATTTGAGAACACTTTGTTTCAAATTCTGCCTAAAGTATATGTAATCAAAATCAATGGGAACTGAAAGCACAAGGTGAAGAATCAAACTGAACCTTAGAGACTTGGACTGTCCTCCAAATGGAGGTGGGAAAGTGTACCAACTTCAAGGAGAGCAATAGGCAAAAAACCTTACATTTTTCCTAGTCGCATTTTTGATAGCTGAACAGGTATTTGGTTTCACATAACTTTTATATAAGTATACTGAACTTGTACTGATGTAGCAGATGTCAGAGCATAGTTACTCCAACAATGTCACAGAATATTGCCTTTATGAAGGAAGCAGTTCGTGCTGCCTTCAGCTAATTTACAAAACACTGCCACAGATAACCTACCTCAGTTGACAGTCTTTTCAATTCCTGCTTTCGCTGTTGCTCTGCAACATTAGCCACTGACTCAGCCAGATTATTGAGTTCTTGCTCCTTTGGAGCTCCCATGAAGTTCAGCAAAGGAGGCTCCCAACCATTTCGGAAACGGGGGACATAAGGTGGAATAAAATGGTCTTTGGGCCAGTCCGCTCTGCATTGAAAGTAAATTAGAGATCTGTGTCAAGGGCCACACAAATATTGGTTTAATAGATTTCCTAAAAATTGAAATGCTTTAAAATGTTTATTAGTATAGAGGAGAGGATAGGATTACAGTACAGGGAGTATTGTGCTAGAACACAGAAAACTGGCAGAACACATTTATTGACCACAACTGTGCTCCCCACTCTGCTACGCAAAAAGAAACTGCTCCTGCTGTAAGGACATATCTGTGGTAAAACACAATAAACTTCTGTATTGTAGCAAAAGATGAGTAATAGAAGAATCAATCAGGATTTGTTTTAACTGTTGGAGGGGAAAAATTGCAATGCTTTATTTGCATAAAAGCACCAGACAAAAGACTTCAAAGAAACAGCCTGTTTTATAAGAAAGTCTAAAAGCGGGTATGAAGAATGGACGCTTAGGGGGCCTAGCTACACCTAAACCAAAAAGTTAAACCATAGCTTTTATTAACAAACCCCCAGTTCTTCATGCTCCAAGACATAATTATCATCATATTTGCTGGTTTGTAGTCCAGATTGGCAATTTTAAAATACTGTATTACTTTTCCGAGCTCCATTAGCATTCCCTACTCTAATACAAAACTAAATTAATGCTTTCCTGCTCTGCCTTTGCACTATACATAACACACTACCCCACAATATAAATTACTGTATCTTCACAGTGGAAGTAGAAATGGGAATGTACATTACAGTATTTTAACAGTCTAGTAGCTGAGACTGCTGAAAATTAAGGGACAAATGCTTTGAGTCATACAAGTTTCAAGAGTAGTCAGTAATTATTAGCCCATTAGCAGGTCTGAGCTAGGTCAGTAACCCTTATCATTCACCTCTCCTGCTACACCACACCACAGTGTACCTCTGGATACTGAGATCAATTAGACCATCATTTCTAATCTGCACAGGTCAGCCAACTATATTCTAAATGTTTTATTCTTCACTACCCAACATGAGATACTTCTCTTTCCCTTATAACTTCTTTCAGGATGGACTAAACGAATGATGATGGTAGTTCCCAAGACAAGGAGCCCATTATTTTACCCAGTGATCCATTTTTCTTAGCACAGGGCTCCAATGCTATGAGGCAATTTCCACTGCCAGTCACACTGCAAGCTACTATGAAGCCAGCAGAGCCTGAAGCAAGTAAAGGCAAGCAAATTTGCTTTGCTGGGGTAAGTTCTCTGGCAATCACAAGCAGATGCAATCCCTGTTTCCAGCTCATTTTGTAGTAGCAGACTGAACACTGGCCCAAAGGATGAATTTGGACATTCCTGGTCCTGTAGCAGAGTGAGACCAAGGAAGGGAAAATACCTGTACATCACTCTCCCTACTTTGAGAATGTTTGTCCCCCCCCTTTCTTTTTTTTTTAAAAAAAAAATCTTGTCTGTTTGTCACTCTAGGACTTTCTATGCAGCCTCCCTTACCAGCAAAACACTCAACTACTTTTTAATCAATCAATCAATTAATCAAAGAAAACCACTTGGTAGATGTTCATGTTCCAGTCTGAAATCTAAGAGCAAGGATGAATAAACACAAAATACATTACGCATTTCCAGCCCAAGTGATTGCTTACTTAATCATCATCAAATGTACTTATCTACCACAGATTACAGAGTTAAAATGCACTTTGCATGTTTTATTTACCTAAGTAATTTCAAAGCATATACTTAACTCAAAAAAACAAATGTGTAAACCAGTGAATTTTTAGCTAAGCCTAACCATAATAATGAATCCATTAAATGAGTTATGTAGGGTATACACATGTAACATGGTTCAGCCAATAATTTTTTTTTTTTAAATTATAAGCATTTTCTTATAGCATTATGATGCTTTTGAACAAGTAAAGACATTGTCACTTTTTAGTTTTGATAATTATAGGAAATTGATAATAGAAATCTGTATTCTGTTCTTCAATATTTTGTCACTTTTTATTGCAGCTTCTTCAAATTGATTTTTAATGAGTCCAGATTGGTTTGGAAAAATAATGGGGAAAACCAACTGGAAACATGCAAGGGACAGTTAATAAAAAATGAATGCAGGAGATTATGTCAAGACATTCTCAATACTACAGACAAAACAGAAATTTCTGCATTTTCTCCCTCGTTGAGACCCCTAAAATCAAACCACTCCCAAATCCCTCTGAAGTTAGAGAGTTCCTTTCCAAAAACTTCACATTTCTGAAGAGTCCAAAGCCTAACAAATTAATACTGAGCTTTTACTGAGGGGTGGATAACCTGTTTAAGATTGTGTCAATAAACGAGTTTAGAGATCATCTTTAAAGTACGCAAACGCTTTTTCTCACCTGGCTTTGGTCCATGTGTCACCCAATGACATCCATAACTGTCCTTCCTCACTGGTGACAGTGTATCGTAGGAAGTCTATAGTATCTTTTGTTAAGAGGGGACTTAGTACTGTACCAGCAAGTTCTGGACCTCCTGTTGTCTGTACCACCTAAATGCAAGTATTAAAATAATACAAAGAACATACACGTTGTCAGTAAGAAGGTTACTGTTAATGTAAGTTACCTACAGCACTGCTAGGGAACATTTATTACTCACAAAAACCCACACCCTACCCCGAAAACTCTGAGAAGCTAATAATGTGTCTTAATATCCTACATATTAACTAAAAAATTTAGTGCAGAACTCTTGTTTGGGTGACCAACCATCTTATACTTAGACCCACTTTTGGCAATACAATTTTTGCTCTACTGAAGAAAACTATACATCCATTAAATAGACATATGGTATGCTTTCAAGCCTCCTGCATTACATAAAATATCCCAATTTTTTACTGTTAATGAAAAATTATAATGGCAAACTGTAATACACAAAGTTAAAGACGTTTAATAGATGGGACTATACTCAGAAAATGATATAAATTATTTTCTAAAGAGGGATTCGTTAGGAGATACACACATTTCTCCTTATTGTCCAGAGATACAACATTTAAATCTTGCTAACCTTGAAAAGGTTACAGAGAATATAAATACAAGAGTTCTGAAGAAAAACACAGAAAAAAATTATAAAACCTTACCATATGTAGTGGAGTAAAGAGAAAATGAACCAGTTCAGCTGCACTAGGATTCTGGATATGGAACTTTAATTTGGCCTGAAGGAATGGGAAAATGATAGATTTTAAGAAGCATTTAACTTCTGTGACAATAAATACTTCACACAGGAATGGCCATTCTGGCCACAGGTCCACCTAAATCCGGTGTTTTGCAACATCTGCTAAGTGCAAGTGCTCATTCATTAAATTGCTTTTGAATTCATGTATATCTTTATCACCTATCATGCAAAACAAGAAGTTCTGCAATGAATTATGTGCTTTGTAAAGAAACATCTCCTTTGGAAATTTGCCATTTCTTAGTTTCATTAGTATTCGATAGTTCTTCTCGAAATGCAAACTGGGCAATCCTCTATTTGTTTTTTTCCAGTGATGCTCATAACCATTTACAGATTTATTACATTCTTCCTCTCTTTGATCATTTCCAAGCTAAAGTAATCCCTTCAAACATTATTATCCTCCCTTGTACCTTCTTCAATTTTGCTACACTGGGAATAAAATAAGGCCAGGAAACACAGCAGCATATTGATCCTCTTTATTTGTTAATTTTCTTTTTTCTGCCCTAATGATTCTTAACATTTACTTGGTTGATCACCACTGAACATGGATGATATCTTCACAGGAATCTGTACTACATCAACATTTTGTTCTGACTTGTTTTACATATGAGATTTTTCCCCACCTATCCATGACTATCATATCTATCAATTTGAATTTCATCTGTCACTTTATCTGCTATCATGAGATACTTCTACATTTGTAGACTCTACACTCCCCATTTGCCAGAACACCTGTAAATATGTTGGGATAGCAAAGGCCTCTGCAGAGGCATGTATGGGAATTCCCTGCTCAATTACTGTACTTTGAGAACCAGCATTTTAGTCCTGTATTTTGTTCTCTATTTCACCAAACAAGAACTTAAGAAACTAAATTCAACCTCACAGTAACTCAGCATCTTTAAGAACTTCAGGGTGTGCAACCTTGCTGGGTGTGTTTTGGAAATCCAAAGCAACAAAATCAAAGAACTGATGGATTTGTAGACATTGTTTTGATCTGCAAGATGCATGTTTGCTTCTTCTACAATTTAATATACCTGCTTACAAGCTGCATCCCATGTGTGAGTACCTCAGGGGTACCTGGTTGTCTCAGAACCTTGGAATTATTTTAAAGATTATCATAATTACCTTAACCACTTCTCTCCCCCTGGACGAAAGGCGGTTTGAGAGAGGTTGCACACCATACTGTATGGTTTTCTGACTTAAGTTTTTGGAATAGATGGATGAACAGTGCCCACCCATTCAATCAGGGTGTCTATTCATCTGCCTGTAACTTGGCATTTTGATTTGCTGTTCTTTAATCCATTACCAGTTCTTCAATTTGAAACAGATAATCTCTTGTGCTCCTCATTAAAAAAAAAAAAAAAAAAAGAAGTTCTTCATTAACACATTGTCCACTATCAAGCTTTTCCAAGTATATGCATTTAAAAAAAAAAACAACATATACTTTCTCTTGTATCGCTTCATGGAGAATTTCTTTTATTTACTAATCACTCATTGGCCCTGCAGGCTCTAGAAGAAGCATCCTAGAATGTATTTTTAAAAAAGTTATAGTATTTTTTATTGCATCTTGCTGTCTGTTCCTTAAATTGCTTTTGGCTATCAGTATTCTACTTTTACATCTAGCCTTCCAAGAGCGTGCCTCCAAATGAAGAAAGGAAGAGGATGTGTTTTAACTTCTAGTAACTTTCTATACATTGTTATTCAGTCATAACAACTTACTTTTGGTCTTTCTAAAGTTTTTTTTTTTGACAGATGGTAGGCATTTTCTAGAAGCTTCCAGCATAGTGTTTTAAAAGTTTCCATTCTACTGGCAAAGATTTTATTCTCCTAGGTACTCCTTTTATTTTTAAACTAGATTCTTCATTTTATACAGTTCTCAGTGTCTGGCATAAAGCACCAGGAAGTGATATTTCAGGCTTTTGTGGCTCCTGCCATGATGCTGAAGTAAAGCACTGTTACAGCGCAGCTCTTCAGGAGCAACATTAGAAACCAGGTCCTAGATGCTGCTGAGCACCAGAACAAGAACTGCTTCTTATCCTGCACAGAAGATAAAGACTCAAAGATGGACACATTATACTTGGGTGAAAAAATAATTTAAATGCATAACCCGGGAAGAAGTAAGAATGGAAAAAAATCAACATTACAAGCACTGTTACTGAGAAGATCAGCATATTCTAAGACATCTGTCCCTCACAAAACAGCAGTCCTTTAGCGTCAAAATCACAGAATTTAATATAGGGTTTAAAAAAAATTAGACATTAACATTTCTAAATATCTCCCACAGCCCTGCAATCAGAATTTGTTCCCAAAGGAAGAAAAAAGCTGATTTGACTCAGAGAATGTAAGAACAATTTTCTCTGTTGGCATAGCTTCCTCAGCAATTGGAAGGGACAGTCAGTATCTGAAAGTAAATGCTTTGAAAGTGTCCCAGTTGCTGCCTTCTTTTCATAGCACTTGCAGAAGAGGAGATGCCAGGAGAAGTCTCTTGAATTAGCATCTCTGCTTGTTGAGAACCTATAAAGCGACAGCAATTTGTCGATGGAGTGTTCTGAGGTCAGAAAGGTCCTATGTAATGATGGCAACAAGCACAGAGACTCTGATGGGCATAGCTGAATAAAACTAAATTAAGATCACAGCTGGTGATGCTGGCAAGCATGCAACAGAGCCGACATCCCCACAGACGTTCCTAGAAATTCTTTTATGACTTGAACTCAAATTTCCCCAGTAAAAGGCTTTGAAGAACCAGGAAAAGAAGAAATAACAATGCTGGAAAAAAAAAATATGCTCATCTAGTCACTGTGTAGAGAACTTGAGGAGCAGCATCCCAAAGCTCAAAGGCCAACCCTTGGGCAGAGGTGGCCAGCCCTGCTCTTGCCTCAGTTCAACTTTGGATGGAGAAGGAAAAGGTGAAAGTCCAAGACCAGTCAAGTATCAGCTGAGCTATCTTCCTGTGTTTCAGCCAAGGACCAAACAAGATTACATTTCCAGGTATATCAGCATTCTTGAAGAGGATACTTGTGGCTTTGCTCCTTCTGAAAGAGCAGTGGAGGCCAAGACAACACAGACTTAGGTTCACAATTGCCTGGATGCTGTTGACCACCTCTGCACAGCTGGCAGCAGTAGGGCATTTAACACCCACAAGGTTTCTCTACATGGACAAGGCACCAGGAAAGTTAGGTGGAAGGCAGAAAACTTCATTAATGAATTCCCAAAGACAAGATGACCTTCTGCAACCTCCTCAGGGTGTCAACAATAAAGCATCCACACCTCCAGCAATAGTCAGAACCTCTAGAAAAAAACAACTTAAAAATAACTATGAAGCAAATCTATCATGTTACTGATTCCTCCTTCTCCTCTTCATCTTTCACCATAATTTTAATTCATCATTTCATACTAGTCAAATAAGACATAGGAAAACCAATGCAGGAAAACTGACACACAAATTAATTTGCAGTGGTATGGAAAACAAAGGTTGCATTATACTTAACATCAGCTATGCCAGGAAAAAACTGTTATAACATGCCTCACACCACCACATCCACTAGCAGTCACTTACCAGAAGATTGAAGCCATGCTTGAATTTTTGGAAGCAGTCAACAAATTCATCTGGAGGTGGTGGTTTTGCACGTAGAGTAAGAACCCCCTCTGGTGAACAAAATGAGATTTTTATATATCCATTTATATGGTATATAACTTCTATAAATACTACAGAAATAATAAAACACATAAATACATATTAAAGTTACCAACTTACAGAAATTTTAAATATAGAATCCTGACAGTGAGCATATTCTGTGGTCACATCTCTATAAACAGTCACTCCCAACTGACTTCAAGAAAATAATTTTCATAGCTTTCCCTCTAAGAATATACTGAATAGGATTTTTTGTGCTCAAAGTGAAAGAAAATTACTAAATTAATGAAAAAAATACACAAAAAAGACACACTTGCTAACTACTTCAGTGATCCTTAGAGAAACAGAATTGTATGCAGTAAGAACTCCTACCTCCAGGTCCTTTCTTTTTACTTTTCTTAGTTTTCTTCCTCTTTGAAAGTTCAGCAAAAGCTTCAGCAGCTTTTTGAAGTTTGGTAACAAAATACTCAATGTCATCCAAAATATGGTTCAGAATTTGCTATGGGAGAAAAGTAATAGTTTCTCTACAGAATCTATAGCAGAAATACTATGGAAATCAAAATGACCGCACCCTCAGACATCAACAGCTTCCTTGGAACAAAGTTCATGCTAGAACATTCCATATTTAGATTCATTATGTTCTTAACATTACACACCTGCAAAGTATTTGAAATCCTAGGTTTTTTTTAAATTTAGGTCCCTGGAAGTTTTTAAAATATGATCAAGAAGATTATTAATTTCAGATTTAAATTACACAATTTGTTCACACATTACAATTTCTCTCACAGCACATGAAAAAAATTTAGGAAAACGCTGTCCATTCAAATAATTAAACAGTATAACTTCATAATCTCCTTTAGTACAAAGTATTAAGCTATTTGCTGAATGTCAGATTTATAGAGAAGTGATATTTGAAGAATTGTTTTCAAAGAGCAAGTGTAGGAGAATGTATGAGCCTCTGGGGAAAAAAAACATATACGCCAACGCAGCAAGCCCCAACACGCTTTCCTCAAGACCCTCTGATGTTGCTGAGGGCAACAGGAGAGTAAAAAATTAGAAAGTTACAATTGACAAATGGGGCAATACTTGGTATCACATACATTACAGAACCTGCCCAAAGTTGCTGCTTATAGGCAAGAAAAATTTACATTGTACACACACACAGTCCACCTGTCTTCAGAGACGACCATGTGCTTACTTTCCAGATACTGCACATATCTAAATCCCACTAAATTGATGGAATTTTTTTATCCTTTTGTAGTTTGCTGAATTTGGTCTACCACACAAAATAATTACTTATATTTCTAGCCCTTCACAGCAGAAAACTTTACATCAACTTTCCCCCCCCCCCTT